GCAGGGCAATATTTAGTGAAGGGATTCAGGGAAACCGGTTATTTGTATATAGCTGACTTGAGTCCTGGAAATGGGAAGTACAATGCCTGCACTCTAAAGGAGGGGTTCGGGAAAATTAGCAGTTTAAAGGGGATTTTGTTGTGTAATTTTTATCGTATATACTTCTAAACTGTTGTGGTTCTGAGCACCTCTGCAACAACGTGATTATGTGTGGGGTTGAAAGTGTTGAATGATGGTAAAAGTATTTTCTTTTTTTGGGATTTTCTTTCTTTTTGGGTCACCTGCCTCGGTGGGAGCGGCGACTTGTTGAAAAAAAAAAAAAAAAAAAAAATTATAGGTCCAGCAATGTTGGGAGAAAGAGGAGGAGGGAAGAAGGAGGAGGAGGAGGAGAAGGAGAAGGAGGAGGAGAAGGAGAAGAAGGAGGAGGAGAAGGAGAAGAAGGAGGAGAAGGAAAGAAGAAGGAGGAGGGAGGAGGAGAAGGAGAAGGAGGAGGAAAAGGTGAAGAAAGAGGGGAGGAGGGGGGGAAGGAGAAGGAGGAGGAGAAGAAGGAGGAGGAGGAGGAGAAGGGGGAAAGGAAGGAGAAGGAGGAAAAGGAGAAGGAGGAGGAGGAGGAGGAGAAGGAGAAGGAGGAGGAGAAGGAGAGGGAGGGGAAGGAGGAGGGGAAGGAGAGGGAGGAGGAGAAGGAGAGGGGAGAAGGAGGGTGGGGGAAGAGGAGAAGGAGGGGGAGGAAGAGGAAAAGGAGGGGGGGGAAAGAGGAGAAGGAGGAGGAGGAGGAGGAGAAGGGGGAGGAGAAGGAGGAGGAAAAGGGGAGGGGGAGGAGGAGAAGGAGGAGGAGGAGGAGAACTAGGAGGAGGAGGAGGAGAAGGAGGAGGAGGAGGAGGAGAAGTAGGAGGAGGAGGAGAAGGGGGTAGGGGAGAAGGATTTAGAAGGAGGAGGAGAAGTAGGAGAAGGAGGGGGAGGAGGAGGAGGGGAGGAGGAGGAGGAAGGAGGAGGAGGAGGAGAACTAGGAGGAGGAGGAGAATAGGAGGAGAAGGAGGAGGAGGAGAACTAGGAGGAGAAGGAGGAGGAGGGGGAACTAGGAGAAGGAGGAGGAGGAGGAGGAGGAGAGGGAGAAGGAGGGGGAGGAGAAGAAGGAGGAGGAGAAGGAGAGGGAGAAGGTGGAGGGGAAGGAGGAGGAGAAAGGGAGGGGAGAAGGTGGAGGGGAGGAGGAGGGAGGGAGGGAGAGGAGGGGGAGGAGAAGAAGGAGGAGAAGGAGAAGGAGGAGGAGAAGTAGGAGGAGGAGGAGGAGGAGGAGGAGAAGGAGGAGGAGGAGGAGAAGAAGGAGGAGAAGGAGAAGGAGGGGGTTTGGGGAGGAGAAGGAGGTGGAGGAGAAGGAGGAGGAGGAGAAGGAGGAGGACAAGGAGAAGGAGAGGGAAAAAGTAGGAGGAGGAGGGAAGGAGGAGGAAGGGAGGAGAAGGAGGGGGAGGAGGAGAAGGAGGAGGAGGAGGGAAGGAGGAGGAGGAGAAGGAGGAGGAGGAGGAGGGAGGAGAAGGAGGAGGAGGAGGAGAAGGAGGAGGAGAAGGAGGAGAAGTAGGAGGAGGAGGAGGAGAAGGAGGAGGAGGAGAAGGAGGAGAAGGGGGGAGGAAGAGGAGGAGGAGGAAGAGGAGGAGGAGGAAGAGGAGGAGGAGGAGGAGGAGAAGGAGAAAGAGGAGGGGAGGAAGAGGAGGGGGAAAGAGGAGGAGGAGGAGGAAGAGGGGGGAAGAGGAGGAGGAAGAGGAGGGGGGAAGAGGGAGGAGAGAAGAAGAGGAAGAAGAAGGGAAGAGGAAGAAGAAGAAGAAAGAGGAAGAAGAAGAAGAGGAAGAAGAAGAAGAAGAAGAGGAAGAAGAAGAAGAAGAAGAGGAGGAAGAGGAAGTAGTAGTTCCCTTGAAGCATGAAAAACAAAGTCCACCCCTGACAGTGACGTGATAAGAGGAGATAACATTTGATAAGAGCTGACCTTTGATGAGCATACGTGAGGGTGCAGTGATAAGACTTGATAAGATTAGAGGTGACATTTGATGAGCATCGGCCCTAGCTTTGTTTTCGCTGGTACACAAACATGCCTGTCTGTCAAGCTCCCTGTCTATCTGTCTAGCTCTCTGTCTCAGAGAGAGCCACAAGACTGCATCATCACGTTAACTCATATCTTCAAGGAGAGTATAGCACTTTGTCTGGATTTTTTTGGGTTATCCTTGGTAATTTACACTATGTATACCTGTATTTATGTGTACCTGTGAGACAGAGATAGACACAGACAAACAAATGGAGCCAGGCCGCCAGCAGCCAGCCAGCCAGCCAATCAGCCAGCCTGCTGAACAAGTATTACATTCCAGAATTGTTTCTCTTTACTTAGGGCATAGGTTATAAGACATTCTGAAAGGGTGTTGCACATGGGTTATTATCGAGTTTTTTTTTATATTTCCTAGACCACTTATGGCCACATCCACCTCAAAGCCACTAAACTCGGGGTCAACATCACTTTCCTCTTAAAATGGGAGAATTAATACTACATGAAATCAGTGAATCCCAGGTGTTTGCCTTGCTGTTTGCTCTAGCTGGCGCTCATTTGAACTGGTGCTCCCACAAGGTACTAAGTGGTCCCAGATTTTTTTAATACAGTGCACACCGAGTGTTATGACCCATTCTATGCTGACAAGGCATCTCAGGCCAATAGTGCCCTATCTGAAGGCAGGAAAAATAAAATGTTTATATACGTTTGGGGCACTAGCGGTAAGAACATATATATACGTTTGGACCATTTACGGGTTAAACTGTCCATATGTAGATCTACGTGCACGTGCGCAGCACTCCGAACGTAGTTCAATGTTTTATTTTTCATTCCTTCAAATTTGGTGTGATAGGCCTGAGTTGCCTAGACATGAAAGAATGGGTCTGCACACTCAGTGTGCACAGTATGAGAAAAATCAGGGACCACTTAATACCTTGTGGGAGCACCAGTTCAAATGAGTGCCAGCTAGAGCAAACACTCCCATTGTAAGAGGAAAGTAAAAAATAGGTTAGGTCCTAATTTTTTTTTTTGGCAGTATTACACACAGAAAATTGCCCTCTTTAATTAAAAAAAAAAAAATTCAAAATATTTGGAGTGCTGAGAGAGTGAATGTAGATCTACGTATGGACAGTTAACGGGTTAAGTGAGCAATATAGCTAGGTCTAAAAGATGCATATACAGTACATGCATTACTTACCTTAAAATATTTTTTTCTTTAGCTTATAGTTAGTAAATATATTTATTGTAGGAGGTCTGAATAAATAAAGAATGGGTATACATAATTGAAAAACCTCTGTATCAGCAAAATGCTGTAAAGTGGGGCCTGCTTGTACAGGTATCATCCAACTTACGACTGAGTTCGGTTCCGAGAAACTGGCTGTAAGTCGAAATGGACGTAAGTCGAACATTACTACCGAATATCAACATCACATTTTTGTAATGACTTTATTTTGTTTTATTTTGGTATTTCTTCATTTACTTTACTTTTTATGCTGTTAGTACTGTATTTTACACTGTAAGGTTTAGGATAAACACTGTGTACAACACAAACAGTTGTTTATTTCCCAGAAATTTGGCACAGAAAACAAGGTCATAAGTCGAATGGTCATATGTTGAGCAGGTCGTAAGTCGGAGGGTAGGTGTACTTATCTCTGACACGAAATCCCTAAAGAAAAGTAGAAAACTGTCTTGGAGACTCAAAGAATAAGCTTGGGCCAGTATGTTATGATGACAGGTGATATTATAAGATTTTTCAAGTCAAAAAAAAAATTGTAATAAGTGGTTATCAGTGAAGGCATTGCAAACATAGTTATCCATGTGGAATAAGGGGTTGATAGTAGAACAGCCTGTACGAAAACAGACTGATGAGGGGAAAGACAATAATAGGTTCACAAGTATCATCAAGCATTAATAACAACAATGGGTCTATAACGAGAGGGGTCATGGTCCAAAGTACCTGGCATACGAATGGGTAAGACAAAGGCAGTGACAGACTGGAGAGGGAGAAACCTTTGGGACCAAACGAGATTGAAAAGGTGTAAGACGAGAGCTGCAGTGTGCAAATGTCTATGCATACTCGTGCAAGTGTGTAGGTATATTTTTCTTCCATGAAGTAGAACTCCTTATGGTAAGTTTACAGTTTGGAAGGCTTTTGGGCACAAGGCTCACTGGCTGGTACTTGCTAGGCACAGTGTTTCTTCCTTCAGCTGGCTCATTGCTCTGCCTATGGTGGTCTTCGTGGTGTTGGTGTTGTCACAGTATTGTGATGGATTTACCTATTTTGTACATAGATTGGTTCAGGTGTTATCCAGTCTTCAATTTTTCCTGGTAGATCACTCAGTACCCTTGGCCTTGGGAAGTCATCCTTGTGAATGTAATGTTGTACTCTTTGTTGCAAGGTCATCCTGCGAGTTCTGTGTGGGGGTTAATGGATCACATAGTTGGTGGAGATAATCACCTGGGTTGGGTTTTCTCTGTCAGGTTAGTAGGTGGTTTTCATACTAGTAGAAGTCATTCATACAAGATTTCAACTATTGTATAATAATGTTATTGTAACAGTGTTACTTTGAAATTAAAATTGTACTGTAATAAATATCCAATTGCAAAAATTCTTGATTATTAATTTTAATTACACTGATGCCATAATAACACAGATAAATACAGTTTATGTCGTTAAGACAGAAAGAGCAGCAAGACGACCTGGAGATCCCATTACTCCTCCACCTGGGTGTGCTCCAGAGCCACATAACAGGAGGCCATGGATGGGTGTGAATGGACCTGGCTTCATAGATGAGGGTCGCAGTATTAACAACTGATCCAGAGACATCGCACCATGGAAAATATTCTGAAAAAATAAAGTAAATTACTGAAATTTACTTCTGACAATTGTTTTTAATCACCATACTTAACTCATAGGGCTGAGGAGGGGTTGTTCAGGTGGTGTAGGCATTAAGAAAAACAGAATGGAGGGGAGATAAAGGAGGTTTTGAGTGCAAGAGGGCCTGAGCATCCAGGAAACTCATGTAAGCATGTTAGATCAGTGTGTGTGTGAAGACAAGTGGTTTTAACCCTTTCAGGGTCCAGACCCCCAATAGTATTACTTCTGTTTTATCGATTGAGCACAAGAAATTGCCTGGTTAACTGTTTCAACTACCCAATAAAGTGATTGGAAATTTGGCCAATTTCACACAAAGTTCAAAATATTCCAATTTCAAAATAGGGTCCAGAATAAGCAATGCAGGCATTCCTGGCACTAAAATAACATTTCCTCTGTTTATTAGTTATGTTTCCTGGCTTTGAAAATGAATTCAATTTTTTTTTATTCATATACAGTAGGGCCTCACTTATATGGCAGGTTAGGTTCCAGGCTAATGGCATAAAGCGGAAATTGCCATAAAGTGGAATGCCTTTTTTTTTCCACTTATAAATGCATGTAAATACTAGATAACAAGTTTACACTAGCATATATTAAGTTAGCAATAGAAATAGGTATTAAAATCATTACACATATACATGTAATACACTCACTAATCTTAAAATATTTGTAGTCTTAATGTAGGGTGAGATGAATAGTATTGTAAGAAATCAAATGTGGTAGGTATGGTAGCCAGCCAGGCTATTATACCAGGCCACCCCACATATAATATGCTACGAAATTTAAAGCATCCCAGAGCGATAAAATGCATATACAGTTCACTCATTACTTACCTTAAAATATTTGTAGTCTTAATGTAAGGTCAGAGGTGAGTAAACGAGATAAAACGAATAAACGAGAGAGAGAGAGAGAGAGAGAGAGAATGAGTACATGAGAGAGGACAGGCGTGGAGTTGTGCAAACAAACCAGGTGGAAGCGAGTTTTGTAAACAAACAGGCAAATGCGTCTGGTTTGTGTACAAGTTGTCTCCACATTGATACAGTAGAATAAAGAGCAACACTCCCATTCTCATGTAACACCATTTTTAGAAGAAATGATGCTCTGAGTGAAGGCATACGAACGGAATAATTTTCTACAGTTACCCCCAGTAACATTATGGTATAAACATTTTTTCTGACATTGGACTAGAGAATTATTATTATAATCAAAAAGAAGTGCTAAGCCACAAGGGCTATACAGCGCTGCTGGACTAGAGAAAACATTATCCTTGCCATCACTCATACAAGAAGTCATCTGGCTGCCACTTTATTCTACCGTGGGGTGTATTTATCGTGTTTATTATATACAGTGGTCCCTCAATAATCGTCCGGCTCAATAGTCGTCCTTTTTGGAAATCGTCGTGTTATTCTCGTCCAAACATTGGCTTGCAAATGGTCGATTTACACGCTAATCGTCCTTCGTCCGGGACGTGTACTCACGCTCTGAGCCACCTCGGCCTCTCTTCCCAGCCAGTGTGCCATTGTTTACCAGTGAGCGACGGTCCCCTCACTTGCTCATACGAAATATTTCATAATATTCAATTCGTTTTAGTGCTTGCAGCTGCTAAATAAGTCACCATGGCTCCAAAGAAAGCTTCTAGTGCCAGCCCTTTGGTAAAGAATGTGAGAAACACACATAATTTATGAAAAAGTTTGTAGAAAAATACAAGGTGGTGGTGGTGGTAGAGTGGAAGCAGTTGTGATAGTGGTTGATGGTGGTAACAGTTGTAATAGTGGTAGAAGGTGGTAGCAATTGTAATAGTGGTAGAAGGTGGTAGTGATGGTGGTAGTTGTAATAGTGGTAGAAGGTAGTAGTGATGGTGGTAGCAGTTGTAATACTGGTAGAAGGTAGTAGTGATGGTGGTAGAGGGGTGCCTTCAGTGATTCAGCGATTCTACCAACTCCTCCAATGTTGTTGGAGTTATATAGGGCTACAGAAAACAGCACCGCCTCAGCTGCTGCTTCACCACCATTATGGACGGCTTACTCTCAGTGGCCCTTATACACCCAACAACACAACACCTCTCGTGATATGAGTAATGACTTATTTTATTCATTCTAGAGTATATTACATGTTTCTATGTTATCAATATTGTTTATTATGTCATATTAGTTGAATTGTGATAGATAAATAAGCCGTAGAATTGATATTAGTGTCATATTCTCCAACAATAAACTTGCCATCCCTCCCTCACACAAACAAGTCTTCAATAAGAACATAAGGAGGAACACTGCAGCAGGCCTGCTGGCCCATCCTAGCCAGTCCTTCACAAATCCAACCCACTAACAGAACAAATGCTACCCAAGCAATAAGCTCAGGTGCAAGTCCGACTCAAATCCAACCCCTCTCACTCGTGTATTTATCCAACCTAAATTTGAAACTACCCAATGTTTTAGCTTTGATCACCCTACTAGGCAGACCGTTCCACTCATCAACTACCCCTATAACCAATGTTCATTTATACATTTTATTAGTGCTTTACATTTGGTATTCTTTTCTGCATGTAAATCTATATTTATGCTAGAGAAGTGACCCCTGAAGTGACCTAGAGTCCTTATGGAGGGGGATTCCCCTTCCAGACAATAACCTCTCTTCCCTCTCTCCTCCTCCCTGTCTTCCATTCATCAACAACAGCCTTCAATAAAGGTAACTGTCATGTTGCATGTTCATTCTTTTGTGCATGTAAATCTATCTTTTAGGTAAAAAAAAACAAATTGTTGTTGATACTTCTGGGTGTCTGGAACGAATTAATTGGATTTACATTATTTCTTATGGGGAAAATTTATTCGAAAATCGTCCATTTTGATAATCATTACACTTCCAGAAACAGATTACTGACAAAAAACGAGGGACCACTGTAATTCTGAAAAAATATCATAGATGGATTAACCCTTTCAGGGTCAAGAGGCCCTCTGAAACTTGTTCTCAGGTTCGAAAATTTTTCGGAAAAAAAAAAAAATTCTTATGAAAGGATAGAGAATCTTTTCTCCATCATAATGGCACCAAAAGTATGAAATTTGATGGAAAACTTATGGAATTATGCTCTCACAAACTTAGCGGTTTCGACGATGTTTATGCATCGGCAATTTTGCCCACTTTGAACCCTATTTTTGGTTAATTAATGAGTACAAGAAACCACCCATTTACTGATTTCAACTATCCAATAAAGTGGTCAGAAATTAGCAATTCTGCCAATTTCACACAAATTTCAAAAGATGCCAATTAACAAACAGGGCCCAGAATAAACAAGAAAGACATTCCTGGCACTAAAATAACATTTCCTCTGTTCATTAGTCACGTTCCCAGGCCCCTCTTACATTTCTTTTGCTTTCCACTTTGAATTTTTATTCTCACAAAAAAATAGAAGATTTACTGTTATGCAGACTACTGCATTAGTGTAGAAATGGTATAAATAATATCGGTGCACTTGCAAAAGAATATTAGACTCACCAGTTGATGTGTATTGGACGCGTGGCATTATTTGTTTACTTTTGAACTTTGGCAAAAATTGAACATTTCTGCTACTTTGAGCTCAATTTCAATGTACTTTTCTTTGTGAAACCAATCAAAATCATCTCAATGTCTGTAATATGTCTTCCATTCTATAAAATGAGACCAGGAAAACTAGAATACAACCATAAATACCATACGAAAATACAGTGCAAAGTCTCTGTTTTAAACCAATAACATGGTCAAAGTTTTTTTTCTCATTACACACTGTGTGCTGAAGGATTTTTTTTATACTGCACACACTGACCACATAGACCCATTCTTTCATATGTGGCCTACCACTTTTCTCTTGCTAGATTTGAGGGGGCTAGAATTTGGCGTATAGTAGTCAAAACCCTGGTCCGGAAGCTGTACTAGTACCAAACCCCGAAAGGGGTCAAAAAAAATGTTATATTAATTAAATTTTAGACATTTAATGAACTCCATGATTATTATTTGATACACATTATCATTAGTAATCTGGCATCTCGAGACATAAGACGCTCTTAGTGATTTTAATGTGTACCTGCACACTAGCACATTGTGTAAGTTTACTTAAGTACAGGTATACATAAGTATAATTATCAGAGTATACTATATAAAATATGAAATAACTTTTAAAAACGCTTGAAATTTTGGAGTTTCCAGACATAATGGAGAGACGCAGTGCTCACGGAGCTCAAGGAGAACATAAACCGGGTGGGGCGCGGTGACTGTATTAGAAAGTCAAATGGGGGAGCCGTATAGCGAGTTTTGGTCATAATTTGAAATGTCTGTATTAGCAGAATGCCATAAAGCGGGGCCCTACTGTAATGAATTTTTATTCACATCAAAAAATAGAATATTTACTGTTATGCAATACTGCAACAACTGTGTAAATAATATCAGTGCATTCGTAAACACATATTAGACCCACCAGCTGACATGTATTGGACACGCGACGTTGTTTGTTTACTCTTGAACATCTGCAAAAGTCAAACATTTCTGCTACCTTGAGCTCAGTTTCAAGCCATTTTCAGTAATAAAACCAATTAGAATCATCTCTATTTCTGTAATATACCTTTCATTCTATCAAATGAGACCAAGAAACCACAAATACAACCGTAAAAAACATATGAAAAAACACCAAAGTCGCTGTTTTAATCCGAAAATAGTCAGTTTTTTCTCATTATGCACTGTGTGCTGCAGGATTTGTTTTATGTGGTGCACACTTACCACATAGATGTATTCTCTCATATCTATTCCCAACTTTACTGCTCACAGCTTATCTGAATGAGCTGAGCTCATGGCATAGAACTACGGCTTGGACCCTGGCTTCAAAGCCATAGAACTATGGGATGGACCCTCAATGGGTTAAATGCCTGACAACATGCTGTTGAAATATGAGAAAAGCAACATTCATGAAAAAATTCAGGAAAACCAGTGAGCCAGATTTGAGATCT